AAATATATAAAATATAACTGCAATTTATCCTCTTTGAATTCATAATTAATAATTTTTGGTGAAGAATGCTTTACGAACGTCTTATCACGTAATTTTCCGCAGACTCCTGCTATTTCGCCGTGCGATATCCACATATATGATAACCTTATATGGGATGTTGTGTTCTCTCATTCATTGCCAAATTAGCATATTCTTCGAACACATGTAGACTACAGGTGGGTGATAGTGTTATATCGTGCCTTATACCGTGTAAGTCTAGGGAATGGGTCGTTTTATGTACTGATAAAGTGTAGGCCATAAGAGGCCAACACCTGCTGTTGAACCGGCTGTAAGTTTATAGTGACTTTAACTAAGCATGCTCGCTTTCAGGGACCTTTGCATCACTGAACGTTAAAAACACGATAAAAACAAAACTTCAGGATTTCATTTCTCATCAAAATATTTTTTTAATTCATATTTTTTCTTCTGTTCTTGGTATTTTTCCATTATGAATAAAAATTACGCCAACAGTTATTACTCTAAATCTACAGGTACAGAGGCTTAATCCTATTTACGAGGAGCCTAGGTGTTGAAATCAGACGAGAAATATGTTCCGACTGTCACAATTTTGCATTTACAAATAAATAGTTAATTTATACAGGGAGTTTCCTACGCAACGCAGCCGTAAAGCAAACATTTGTGTTTCGGGATTGGAGCAGTGTCCGAAGTGCCCGTCCGAGTCCGCGTTCGTAAAAAGGAAAACTCCCTGTATAACTTACTTATAATTCTGTTGTTGTTTTTGTTTTACAGGCAGACAGAGGAGGAATCAGCATTGATACGGAAAAGACGGACTTCCAGACAACGAGCAAGCTGACGGTGGCAGGAGTATTGCACGTGGACGCCGGAAACTACACGTGCATACCATCAGATACGCGACCGGCGACCGTGGCCCTCATCGTACTAGAAGGTAACCAATTGCTTATTCAGCTCTGAAGAAATTTTGTTGTACTTGGAAACAGAATCTCAGTCAGAAACCCGAAAGGAAGGACCACTTGAAAAACAGGCATAAGAGGGGCAGATAATATTAAAAAGGATTTTATATGATATGAATATGTTTAGATTGGATTAAACTGGGTAACAGTAATGAACTTTCGCGTTCCACAGAAAGCTGGGAATATACAGATCGGCTTAGTGACTGTCAGGTTCTCAATAACTACAGTTTAACAGTCTCCTTCGTGTTAGTATCATAAGTTCGTATTCTAAAACAAGACTTCTGGTAAATACGAGGCTCGTCCACAAAGTAAGTTTCCCTGGGGCCGTTTACAGAAACAAAACACAATTTCATGGAAATATTTATTGCAACAGATACAGCAAGTGTCCAGCTATTTTTCAACATATTCGCCACCGGAATTGAGACATTTGTCATACCGTGGGACCAACTTTGGAATCCCTGT